ATAAAAACAGATGTCATGAATTCATTAATTTATTTAATCAAGCCTCGTTATTGAATCACTATCTAGTAATGTTTTTGTTCTTCAGGATAAATGCATCGCTCGAGGTGTTGTGCTCATATATTTAAACAATTAAATGAATGAGATCTTGTTAGTCTCATTTTTTAATATTTAAACAATTAAATGAATGAGATCTTTTTAGTCTCGTTTTTTAAAATTAAAATGTTTTTTTTCTAAATTAAAATAAATATATTAAATTAAATTCAAAACAAGAATTTTCAAGAGAGGAATTCCGACGACCGACAGCCTTACCCAAAAGAGCTCACCGTTGGGTGATGATGATTATGACGCGGGATATATCAAATGTCTATTTTGGTATTTATAGGTCATATCCCACCTTTTCTGAGCCTCCAGTTGCCAAGGGGAGTCACTGAATTCCCCTATGCACATTTTTTAAATAAGTCAAATTTCGAGCCTATCTACCTACCCGGGGGTCCGAGACCCCCATTTGCTTCTATATGCCCAAATTGATGCATCTGTAATATTTATTTTAACCTGTGGTGTCATATTTGAGTCATACGTGACTTTCTATAGCTTTTGGATCAGTCGAAACCCTTTAATGGTTGTCCGAGCCCAAGCCATATTTGGCCCCGAACAGTGATTTCTACTCGATGTGACACATCATTGATGTTCACTCCAATTTTAAAGAGCCTATTTTTACTCTTAAATAGTTTCTAGAAGTCTGAGAATCCATAAAAAAGCCATACACATGATGTTGCGCACACTCGGGAGAGTGTATAAAAGAAGGCAAGCCCTCCTTTGAGAACTTGGGCGCTCAATCCCCCAAAATTGGATGCCTAAACTCCAAGGCATCTGGCCGACGCATCATAAGAAGGTGCTAGATGTTCTATGGGCGCTCAAGCTCCCATATTGGGTACTTTTGGGCCCGCTTCTTTTCAGGTTACCGTTTAGGCACTTTTTTTTCCCGTGGGCACTCGAGCGTCCGTGCTGGGCGACTAAGCACGCAGGGCTCTTCACATGACTTACGCCAAACCGAGGAAGCTTTGCTTTTGTACTAATATTCATGTATTAGTTACCAATGAAAAAATATCACACGGTTAAGACTCGAAGGTCCCCGAAAACCCACCGAAATGCCGCAGAACCTCCATATTAACTCCATGGACTAAATCTAGGCAAAAAATGGGACTTCAGCTCACTTAGGATGCTTCCTAAGGGGACAAGTTGTCATTCCATGCATTGAGCCCAGGGATTATCTCAAGGAGAAGGGACTTGAGTTGGGAATCAAACTCTATTTGCAAGTTTGGTCTAGGAGAGCTATGGGAAAGCTTTAGAGCGATTTTGGAGAGATTCTTGAGATATTTGAGAGATCCTCTTCTTGATTGTTCTTCCATCCTCCTCTTTCACCTCTTCGCTTTCATTTTCTTCTTCTTCTTACTCTCTATTTTCTTTTTTGACCACCATTTCACCGGAGAAGATAGAGAAAGTGAGGGATTTCTTGTGCAACTTCATACTTTGGAGAAGGGCCTTCGCCAGAGTTTATGATGTCATAAGAATCTCCTTGCAGGGAGAGCTTCATCATTCTTGGGAGAAAAGAGTGGGTGTCTTCTCTTCTTTTGAGGAGAGATTCTTCTTGGACTTCTTTGAACATTGAGCAACCTTCATCCTTCATGTTAGTGAGATTCTCAAGAACCTTTGCCTTTTCTTTATTAGCTAACCCTAGGACTAGATTTTTGTTAGGTGTGTGTGGGTTTAGTTACACACATAAGGCACGTGTGATTGGTCACTTGACATCATCCGACTCAATTGATGGTTCATCATCGTACAATTCAATTGGCTGAACGATGTCGGTTGGCCAAGCCATACTTCTTTTAATTGACCAGCTTTATGGTGTCGCGATGGGTTTGGTCACTCACACTGGGCAAGTTGGTCGGTCGACACTAGTCAGCATGGCCATGCGCCTATTGATTGGCTAGTTGTATCTTACAGAAAGCCCTAGGTTGGGACTATACATTCATGGCCAATTTCATAGTGAATTCAAGAGTGTCTCTTTGCAAGCCTTAGCCCCAACCTGAGCGGGTCGGAATACCAATTTCCCACAGCTGTAGTGGTATCCGATCTTCTCTGGTGGGATTGGAACATTTCACTTGCAAAACGGAAATAGCTTTGTAGCTAGCCTATTTTGCAAGAGGTGGAGAATCGTTCCTCCGAGCAATCGAGAGGGAAAATTCCCCACACTTGCTCACTACAGTAAGAGGCAGCTATGTCGCATATCTAGTTTTGAAAACCCTAGGTACCTATGTGAGTTTGATAGAATGAGTTTGACGTGCCGTCAAAGTATTTTCGGTTGCATTGCTTGCATGCGCATTTGTGACATTTTGCATATTGATTGTTGATTGTGTGACTACTTTGGGTTGATTGGCCCCCTC